ATGGTGGGAGCAAGAAATGAGTTGGTCAAGTCTCTGCACTGAGGCACTGGAGAACCCAGCGTCCCTGAGGATGCATCTGCTGCCTGCACCACTTCATGGGGACCAGTGCCAATGGGTGCCCACCCCAGCCCTCAGCCAGGAGCTTGTGGGGTTTCTCGGGGGCTGTCCCTGCCCCTTCTCATCACACCGTGGGGCACGGGCAGGGAGGACAGCATCCCTTCACCCGGCAGAGCTGCCTCGCCTTACCCACCGCCTGAACCAAACCCCCGCGCGGCGTTTGAGACGCGTCCGTCAGTATTTAATATCGGCGTCCCCGACCCGCTGCCCCATCCCGGGGAGGCTCCGAGGGGCCGCGTTTGTATGCGGCGCACGCAGACAGACAGCAGCCGGGAAGCGCCTGTCAATCACGGCCCCTTCCAGCCTGTCACCTCAAAATAAAGGGAGAAAGAAGGGGTGGCAGCTCCGATGGGAAACGGGGACTGCCCGCACTGCTCCCCCTCCATCAGTGCCCCGGGGATGGGATGTGCCACCCCAGAGGTGGCTTTGGCCAGGTGTTGAAATTTCAGGGTTTCAGGGATGCTGTGCAGATGGAACCCCCAAAGCAGAGGTCTGGGAGGGCTTTCTCAAGGAAGAGGAATTGCATGGAGACGTGGGCTTGTGTCCCAAGGGAGGGGGGGATGTCTGTAACACTGGTGAGCTCGCTTTGGGGGTCTTTGAGCTGAAATGTTGCACTTTTGGAAATGGCAAAATATTTTGTTTCAAGATTTTCTTGAAACCCACCAGCACCTTCCTGTTTCAAAACTGCAGATTGTCATTTCTAAAGGGACCTTAATTTCAAAGAAAGAAAGAAAGAAAGAAAGAAAGAAAGAAAGAAAGAAAAAGAAAAAGAATCGTACAGATTAATCAATACAGGAAAAGGCAGGTTTTTAAGATCAGAAACAAAAGATATGTTGTGATAAAAACTGCTTGCATCACCACATTTTTGTTCCAGTTCTTTCTAAGTTGACTGTTTGTTGTTTGGTTGGTTGGTTGGTTGGTTTTTAATTTACAAATACTCACTGTCAGTGCTTCATTGAGGCTTTTACTGAGCTGCCTGTGGCAGCCTGGGCTTGCACCTACTAACTTTGTATGTGGTTAAACAAACCCAAAAGCTGCCAACCAGGCTGGATTCAGCCTTTGAATCCCATGCTATGGAGGGGAAAAAAAAAATCTGAGAACTAAAGCCTGCAGCGTCCCTAGGATGGCAGAAAGGAAGGTGCTCCCATTGCAGTTTAGGGGTGGCTAATTTGTTCTTGGTTTAAAACCTGTTGAAGGTGCTGGGCAGAGCCAGTCCTTCTCTCCTGTGCAGCCTCCTGAAGAGAAATGTCATCTCAAAATCCCCTTTGCAGCTGCAGGGAGGCACAAAGAGGTGGAGAGGGGAGAAAGGATGGTGTTTGCTCTGCAGCCTGCTGCTTGCAGCAAGAGAGAGCTGGGCACAGAACTGAAGATCCCAGAGGTGGAGGAAAACCTCTCTGGATCCAGGCCGGTGTGTCTTGCTCAGGCACAAATATTAAATTAATTGCTAGATCAGGGGCTGGAGGAAAATTTTCTTTCAGCCCCATCTCAGGCTGACCAGGGGTGTTTCGGTAGGGATCCTGGACACCAGCAATGTCCTTTGCACTCTCCTCATTACTACCTGTGGTAGGTTGCAGTTTTTACGT